TCTTTCACCTCTATACACATAAAGAAAAAAATGGGAGCCGGCCCAGAGGCATAGTGGTTAAGTTCATGCACTCTGCTTTGGCAGCCCAGGGTTTGCAGGTTCAGATCCCCGGTGCGGATCTACACAATGCTTATCAAGCCATGCCGTGGCAGCGTCCCATATACAAAGTAGAGGAAGACTGACACAGATGTTAGCTCAGGGACAATCATCTTCAAGCAAAAAGAGGAAGATTCACAACAGATGTTAGCTCAGGGCCAATCTTCCTCACCAAAGAAAGAAAGAAAGAAAAAGAAAAAAAAATTATACAGTCATTTATTCTATATGTAATCGTATTTACACATACTTTGGCACTTCCAAAAGGAGAAAGAAAAGTGTAATGAAAATTGAACCAAAATAGAAAAGGATGGGAAATTCTGAAAAAACGAAATAATTCACTTTCCCAGAGCACTGTCATGCTACAAAGTAACTGATGAAAGGGCCACTACGCGCACACACACACACCCCCAGCATAAAAAAAAAAAAATGATAAACAAAGGGACATATGGCAAAAAGGGAAAATGGTTAAACTTTTTATTTAAATCTGGTAACCAGATAAACAGTCAAATCTATAATAAAACAACACATAGGAAAATTCACTTTATTATTTCATGAAATGAAAACCAAAACAAAAAGTACATTATAAATGCAGTCTAAACCAGGCACTAGGTGATTTTCAGCTTCCCACCAAAGCAATCAGAGATTAACATGCCTATCAGCTAAGACTAGGCTGTCAAAATGAAAGCTTTAATTTACGCATGCCCTTACCAAAAAGTATTTAAAAGATTTTTCTCCTAAGTTATAAAGAGCATTGCCCAGACTTTAATAAAATAATTTTTAATTTTGCTAATATGCTAAAAGGCATTGTTAAGCAGATTAAAACACAGAATTCAAGACCACCAGAAGGAACTTCCCAAAATGAAATAAGACCATTTGGCTGTCCTTTCTAAAGGCAAATATGTTGTTCATCTTTCTTTTTACCCAAGAAAAATTCCTACAAAATGATAATCAAAACCTTGTGGTAAAGAGGAGCTTAAACGCTGCCTTTCACATCAGATTACATTTCAAGTGATCTGAAACCAAACTAAGACAGCATTTGATGAGCACAGTTCTCGTTTTAAAAAGTTAACAGGGAAATTGCCCTTTGAGATGCTGAGACACACAGGCATCAAAGTCAAGGACTCAGGAATTCAAGAGTCACTGAAACGTTCATCCCGCTAGCCATTACTATGAAAGAGAAGCAGACTGAGGTTGAGGAGGGAGAATACGACAAAAAAAGGGGGAGGGGGGGGTTCCTTTTTTTGTACTTGATTATGACCCTCAGGAAGAAAACAAAGCAGCTTAGAGAAATTTTCCAGAGAAATATTAACAACTTTCTGTCTCTGAAACACTGAATGCCAAACACATCATAAAACTAGGGAGTACCAGATACTCTTCCCAATATACACAGAGAAGACAGAGCTGAGGTAAAACTATTCACATAGGAAAATGAACTGTTCTAACAATACTAGGTTCCAGGTATATTTTTCAGAACTTCACTGTAGCTTCTATAAACAGGATGAACTATTTCATAGCACTTTCAAGTCCAGCAGAAAAGGCAAGACTGTATCTCATGATCCAGGCATTGCTATTTCAGAATTGAAGACAACTGACAAGTGAGACAGGGCGCACGTTTTCCCAATTCACACTCCATATGGAAAAAGGGAGGCTGCTTCCCAGGGAAGTAATTACTGACTTAAAAGAATAAACTGCTTTTTAAGTACATCATAAGTAAACATTTTTTAACAAAAATAGTACATTAATCAGGACTACATTTTGGACAGGTTACTTACCTAAGAGTAACGTTACATAAACAGTAACTTGTGGTGCCTGCCACACCCCAGTTCCCTTCCCAGGCAGGGCTTCCGCGGTTATGCCCTGATCCAATGAGGGCACCTAAGCTTAGCACAGCAGTTATAGGCGGGCAGGTGTCCTATGCAGAGTCTCTGGTAAAAACTGGACTCCCAATCTTCGGGATTAAAATTGGGAAATAAGGAGAGACTCCAGCAATTAGCAGCCACAGCTATGGCCAAAAGAGAAAAGAGGAAGAGAAAAGTTGGAATGGCCGTAAGGGCTATGAATGAGCCAAAATTCTGACTCAGCAGAAACTACAGGCTAGAGAAGAGATGAGCAGGTAGATGGGAACAAAAACTGGTGCACACTGGTTGGCTAAGAATACCAAGGTTACAGGATCCAGAAGTAAGGATGCAAAAGTTCTTGCTGCTGAGGTCTTGTCCACTACCAGGGTTCATGAGAACACATTTGACTGCAATTCCTGAAGACCTAGATGCTCCATTTTTCCTGGGCTGCCGCAAAACCCGGGATTATGGATGAGATTCCTATCTCCCTATTCCTGTATCTATCTCTATAAAGAACGTCCTATTACTTGGGGGTAATTTTGGTGAGTGTCTGGTCCTTGTAACCAAATGGGTATATTAATCAATTATGTTATCTCCTGTAATCCAGACTTCTTTCCATAAATTTATTCATAGTAATAAACTTTATGACATTTCATTTTTTTAGTCAATAAAATGATGCAACTTGCATTTCCTAAACTCAGATGATAGTTTTTCTCTTTTCCAATCCAACACCACCACCCCCCTCCACCATTTTCTCCTCCTGGTCTTAGATATTTTAGGTCTGGGTCAAGTAGGGGATGAGGCAAGATGTCGTCTCAGTTTAACTCCCTTCTACCTTTAAGGCCAGAAATGGGAGCAACTAAGAGGGCAATTAATTAACATAACAATCGGAGGAAATTTTCACAGTATCTATCAAAAGTAAAAATGCAATACCAATTCTTCTTGCACTTCCACTTCTGGATATCCATCTCACAGAAATACGGAAACCTGGAGACAACCAATAAGTTAATCAATAAATGACTGGGTGAATAAAGTACATCCACAGACTAGAAATGGACTTGGAATAGAAATAAACTGGCATATTTTTAAATGGGGTGTATCTATGAGGAATGACCTACCATGATAGCTGTGAATATCTGTAATGTGTATATTTTACTACAAATATATACAGAAAATACACAGAAGTAAAATATACATGTAATATATATTACTTTACAGAAATAAAATTCATAAGTTGTAGAATAATATGCATAGTTACCACATTACATGTATAATAATTACATTTTGGAAAAACCTATGTGTATACGTACACTCAGAAAAATGTCTGGAAGGATACAAACCAAACAGACCAGAGAGGGTTCTCTGAATGAAAACTGATGGTGATTATTTTCATCTACTTGATACAAAGTGTTTATTATATCTTTGTAATTTAAAAACTGTTTTAAATAAAATAAAGATTAGTCATGCCAACAGCTATTTCATCCTTTTGATCAAAATGCTATGAAATCCCTGAATTGTAAAAGACCAAAACATTCAACACTCAGATGATCAAATTAAATTCCTAAAGATTCCTTTCTCCCACATGCCCATGAAATCAATAGCTAGTTCTACAAAAAGATATCATATATTTATCCAATCTAGAAAATTCTCACACTGCCAGGTTTGATATGCAAAGTCAATGTGAAATCTAAAAGTCATTACTGTCTTCAAATGCACCCACAATGAGAAAGTTACTCCTAACTTCCCTCTACCCGAGAACTTTCCGTAAAATCAGGAAAGTACCAAATATCAGAATAAGCACCCAGAGGACAAAAGGCAAAGTATAACAGATATTTCTAAGAAATATTAAATTGTAAGACAGATGTATGTTTAGATTGTAAATGTATTCTGTGATTCCAAAAACATTTCAGTCTAAGAAAAATACACATCTATACTCTGTCCAGTAATCATAAAGTATGTTTGACTCTCAGTGTGTACAAAATTTTCGAGAAAAAAAATCACTTTTGCAAGCAAATATTAATCTAAGACAGGTTTATTTTTCTTGCTCTAAACAAATTAAATGTGAAAGTACAGGGAATGCTAAAAAGTATCAATTTCCAAAAATATCAATTTACACTTTTTTTTTTTAAAGATTTTATTTTTTCCTGTTTCTCCCCAAAGCCCCCCAGTACATAGTTGTATATTCTTCGTTGTGGGTCCTTCTAGTTGTGGCATGTGGGACGTTGCCTCAGCGTGGTCTGATGAGCAGTGCCATGTCCGCACCCAGGATTTGAACCAACGAAACACTGGGCCGCCTGCAGCGGAGCGCGTGAACTTAACCACTCGGCCACGGGGCCAGCCCGTCAATTTACACTTTTTTAAAAGTCCTATCCTACTTAAACTTACACTCCTACACCAAACTTCAAACAACATCCAGCCCTGGTGATGAGGTAACTGGTAATTTTTCCGCCTTTTTACTCATCTATTATACAAATTTTCTGTAATAACCATCTCTTATTACTTGTATAATATTTGGGAAGTTTAAAATAAATAAGCTTGGAGTTTTCTTACAGCTCAGGGGTCTAGGTAACATCCACTTCTCAGTCATTGATCCTTAGGTGAGAAAGGGGCGTGGGCCAACCACAGGAAGGACACTCCACAATTCTAATCCATGTACACATCTGTCTCCCTTTGGAATAAACAGCAAGTCACTTAGCACTTAAATCTGTAAATTTATAAAGATAACATTCCGCTGTCTTCCCACAGCTAAAAGCATATATTTTATGATAAGAGCTTTTACCAGAAACTTTGCAATTAATAAATGGTATACTTGCACATCTCCTCATCCTTCTATTATTTCTGCCTTTAGGATAAGATAAACTAAATAAAATGGGCAAATTCTGTCAATAACTATTACTAAGTTTCTCATCTTTTTATCCTAACAGGGTGGCAATTCTTTTTTGAAAACTGCCTAGAAAACTGGCAGTAAAATACTGCTGGCCTGACTTCAAAGTAAAGAAACGTTCATAATTGTCTAAGCAACCATCTACCCTTAAACTGGTGAGGCATAGACGTGTTATTTTTAGGGCTGTGACAGATTTAGTTCACTGACTTGTAGGTGGCAGGAGAAATAATTACATATGCATGCAAACAATCTATATTTTTAATGTGGTGTTGAGTTTTAAGAAGGTCAGTCTGGAATAAAACACCTCAAGGCTAAAAAGAAGATCAGCATTACATGTACATACACACACACAAAGACACACACACACCCCTTCACCCTTCAAATGTCACATTAGAATCGACATCTTTAGATTTTTTACCAAGTTATACATTTCTAAAGTGACTTTTCCAGCAAAAATCACTCTGATGGACAGGTCACACAGCAAGTTAGTTTATGAAACCTCTAATCCACCACACTGTAACAACCAGGGTAAAGGTAGCTGGGTAATTAGTTCCCCCACCACAAGTTAAAAACAAAAGTTAAACGAATGAAAAACATTGTGTATTCATCAGCATTGAGCCAAATAAAGCTGCTGTGGTAGAGAGTGTGCAAAGAGGGCAATAAGAATTCCTCCCATCCCTCTACACACATCCCCTTGCCATGGGATTACACCACTCCTCCCAGTAAGTGAGGAAATCCACTTCCCTTCCCCTGGAATCTGAGCCTCCTTTGTGATGCGCTCTGACCAACTGAAGGAGGTGGAGTGGTGCTTCAAGCCTGGGCCTCAAGAGTCCTTGCAGCTCCCTGCCAGCTATGTTGGAACGCTGCTGCAGCCAAGACACAAAGTAAGGCGAGCCTCCTTGAGAAAGAGGAATCAGTGGAAAGAGAGGGCCAGCCAACAGCCAGCAACAACCAGCATGCATGCGAGCGAGACTGTCTTAAAATAGGTAGCCCCAGCCCAGCTGGCCACGGGACTGGCCCTAAGCGAGACCAGAACTGCCCAGCCGAGCCAAACTCAAATGGCCAACCCACAGAATTGTAAGCAAATAGAATGGTTGTTATTTTAAGCTGCTAAGTTTGGGGGTGGTTTGTTACACACCTATACATAGCTGATACAGATGCCATCACAATCCACCCTCGGGGAACTGAGCCTCTCAGTCTGTCAGAGGCACCCTCGAAGCTTCAAATGAGGTGCTCACCTCCACAAGATGGGGCCGCTGAACCTTTCTTAGAAACATTACATTGTCCCTACTTGCCTTGACCCCTTGTAAACCACTGCAAATTTTAACTTGGATATACCCCCGAGTTCTTACTCTCTCCTCACCACTCCTGCTCAGGTCTGAGGTCTTTTGCTGCCTGGTGCTGGTCTCTGCCTTTTGACAATCCCAAGACTGTCAAAGCCCTTGTCTCTGGCTTTACAGATCTGATTTTGGAATCCTATCCCCTACTCCGCCATGCATCTTCCCAGTCCACCATCAGCTTTTGCTTTGCTGTCCCTACCTCCAGACAAACGGCTTACTGTAATCTCAAACCACAGACCTGGACAATCTCATTACTTAGAGGAAGCAGTGATGTAGAATCTATTAAAAGTAAGAGTAAACAAAACTCACTTTAAACAAGTTACAGCACTGTGCAGGCTAGAGTCATTTTATAAGATTAAATAATTATGCCAATAAAGCTACAATTGCTTAAAACATGGTTGGGAATATCTTAAGAGCAAAATTAGTGTCACATTAGGAAATCAGTCTCATTTCTTCATAGGAGGGCTGATGGAAATGGGGAATCTTTTAAATTTAAAATAAAATGTAGTTATAAAGCATAAGTGGACACCCTCCCATGACATCCCCTTGAAGGAAACAATACTTCTTGTGTATATACATTCTGATATGATAAATTTTAAAGTCAGTCATACCTCACAAAGACCACCTTTCATATTTTTGTCACTTCCTTTCTTCCAAGTAGCTCCAAGAGACAAGGGAATATTTAGTTTTTAAACAACTGCATACAGCTGAAAACAATTCACTCTTAATATGTAGACTAAACAGACCAGAACCTGTACGTGCAAGCAAAACAAGTGTTGACCGGAACTCTAACACAGCCCGGTCACTGCACATCAGTGCTGCCCCGCCTTTAAAGCCATGTAAGCAAATACATAAGCTACAGACCTGCCTATATCATCTATTTCTAATGGGTTTTACAGAACAGGACATGAAATTATAGCCCTTAAAAAGTCTTGCTGCTCTTATAGAAACAACTGGGAAGATGGCTATAGACGAATGGAGAGGCTCACCCTCTCTTAGCCCTGGAGATTACGACTTTTTAAACAACTGATGAGTATTTATTTTAGTAAAGATAAACAACCTAGCCCTGATCTCGACTTTCGCCGAAAACATTACTATGTTTAAGTCGGCCCTAATGATCACAGTTTGAAACGACACTGAAACACGTCTCTGAGCCTTATTTCAGCCCCCTCAAGTGCCCAGGAAAGGTGCCGTATTAAAAATATTCGTACCACGACCCCTGCTGAAGGTCAGGCACTGGATTTAGGACTCTAGAAACTTGAAAGGGCCTCTACGAGGAAACATAAAAAAGGATTACATCGTCAAACATTCCCTGTTACGGCCCTGGTCACCCAAGGGACGCGAAACGTGAGAAAGTACAGACTGTTCCTGAATTGCCCAAAATTAAACCCAGTTAATCTCCCTACACAGATTTTTTTTTTTTCCAGCCATCAGTCATTAATTCCTTCTCCTAACAAAGCAGGTATCCTACCTAAAACGGTTGTTAGTGAGTTAGGATTTCTACTAAGGTGCTGACTTAAAAACTGGCTGTTTTATTTGCTTTGTGATACGTAACTTAGGCTAAACCATTAATCCTTTCATTACTCAAATACAAAAACGTTTTAAACTCAAGGGAAAGGAAGGGACCATGATTCAAACTCACCATTTAAGTAACTAAAACTGACATAGGTATTATTCTCATAAGTAGAGTTAAATTCACACAACTTCTCTGTAATTTCATCAAAAAAACCTATTTAGTCAGTTCCTTCTTCATAACATAAAAAAACATAAACTGAAGTGATTCTGTCTACCACATCCAACCCCAAGAGTCTGAGTGATTTCTTCAGGAAATGTAACATTTTGATACTTCTGAAAATACTGGATTTCATCTGGGAGGATTCTATGTTCACAGGAATCCCAAGAACATCCCAGAATGAGTTAAAGTGGTTAAGATAAAACCTCATACTTCAAAACTATCTGCCAGCATCAACAGGAGTATCTGTTTCACAACACACACAGAAGAATAACCGTTCTTCTGAAAATATGAATCGATTAGTTTTCAACTAGAGCACAGAGTGAAAACAAAAGATTTTTTTTCATCAGGTTAGCACCGCCTGTCTCCCTTTTGTACTTCTACATCAGGGCACTGCTTTAGCATGTCATCAGGGGGTGGCATCATGCTATTTACAGCCAGCATAACAGTATTTAGCGAGTTTTTGAATGTTTCTGAGAAATTACCATCCACGACCGTCCAATAGGACTTTCTGCAGTGATGGAAATAGTCTAGATCTACACTAAACAATAAAGTACCTTATAGACGTAAAATGAAATACACAAAACACAGCCCCGCAGCTGCACCAGCCACAACTGGCATGTGAAATGTGCCTAGTGCAACTGCGGAACTCTATTTTATTTAATTTTTTACAAAGACTTTATTCTTTCAGAGCAGTTTTAGGTTCACAGAAAAACTGAAAGGCAGGTAGAGATTTCCCAGATCCCTCTTGCCCCCACACATGTATAGCCTCCCCCATTAACAACATCCCCCACCAGAGTGGTACATCTGTCACAACTGATGAACCTACGGTGACACATCATAATTACCCAAAGTCCCCAGTTTACATTAGGGTTCACTCTTGGTGTCGGACATTCTATGGGTTTGGACAAATGTATAATGACATGTTTCCATCATTATGGTACCACACACAATAGTTTCACTGCCCGAAACATCCTCTGTGCTCTGCTTATTCATCCCTTTCCCCAAAAAAAATTTACTTAGGGGTCGGCCCAGTGGTGCAGTGGTTAAGTGCTCATGTTCTGCTTCTCAGCAGCCCAGGGTTCACCGGTTCGGATCCTGGGTGTGGACATGGCACCGCTTGGCATGCCATGCTGTGGTAGGAGTCCCATATATAAAGTAGAGGAAGATGGGCACGGATGTTAGCTTAGGGCCAGTCTTCCTCAGCAAAAAGAGGAGGATTAGCAGCAGTTAGTTCAGGGCTAATCTTCCTCAAGAAAAAAAAAATTAATTTTAATTAATTTAAATTTAAATAGCTACATGTGGCTGTGGCTAGCATACAGGACAGCTGAGAGCTAGACATTCTGCTGGGAATGCTGCTCCTACTCTGTTTAAGTATCAGCCTGGCAGAAGGGGCCAGTCTCTAGTATAGAAACTTTGCTCCAGCTAATGATGAGCCGTGAAGCACATCTAATTCATAGGCTTTCTCCACCTAATCAGCTTGCTGCCCCTCAACCTTTTACTTTCCAACACACACTCACACCCCCAACTCCACCTCACTGACAGGTTACAACCAAAGATTAAAAATACAGTCTACTGTAACAGACCAGGCAAAAGACGATGGTCAAAATGAAGCTATTTTATGTTTATATATCGCCTGCTAAATAAACATGCCCTGATGAAGAAAGAAATATATATAACGATCATTTTAACACCTCTAAAGAAATAAGACTTTTACTATCATATCTACATGGTAAATATATTCCTAGATAGATACATATTTACTTTATTAAAATGGTAGTTTTATAAAATTCATTGAGTCAATAATATTTCTAACTTCTTCCTTCTCACCAATGATGAATCAATGTGATGTAAGCAGAAGAAAATGCTGAACTAGGTAGAAATCATGGGCTTTAGATTCTAAGCACTTTTGGACCATAGGCAAATTACTTCAACTTAGGCCATCAGAGTCTTCAATTGTAAAAGGAAGAAGCAGGAAGAGATCTTCTCTTTGGTCTCTTCCAAAATCAAATTTCCTTATTCGCCCTATATTCTTCTGTCATTCTTCACTTAGAAACTGAATTATAAAAGCCAGCCCTGACCTATCATTCCTGCCCCTGACCATCCTCTTCCTCTGCTTTCCTGAGTGACCCCATAATTAAGCAAAGGGGATGGTGAAATTGTCAATGCAAAAGGAAGAACTAGATAATTCGAATTAAAATGTAAGCAACACAAGATAGGCCAATAGGCACCAATCCAGAAATATAACCTGTTTTCAATCCCCAAACTAAACAGGGCAGGAGAGAAAGAAATTGGAACGCCCCTTGTTACAAATCCTGGTGCAAACTGATGCTACTGGGTCAAAACAAGGTCACAAATTCTTCTAAGACCTCAAACATCAATAGACTGATTGTGAGAAGTCTCAGAATTGCCACAGGTCACTGACTTCCTACATACTCCCCAGAAGCAGATCTATCATTCATTCGGAAGAAAGTCATCAATCTCTCCTTACCATACCAGCTGTTCTAGTACATAGCTCCAGTAGTGACTAATGGTTGGAAACTTAAACCCCATAAATGTCACCAAAATGTATACTTTCCCCTAAGGAAATAATTGAATGAGTATCCCCAATACTAGGCCTCTGAGAGTTATACCAAATGCCATTTACTTGGAAGAAGTTTGAAAATAAAGCTGTCTTAAAATGTTTTCCCATATATCAAAATATACAATCAGTTTAAAAAGTCAGTTCAGCTAATTCCTCAACGTCCAAGACGTTTCTTAAAGCTAAGCCAGAGTTCATTCTCAAACAACTGGCAAGTGAGCAGACACTTGAAATATATCAGCATTTACTCACATCAGATTCCAGTGTTTATCTAAATCAACTCAAGAACCAAAGCACTGCCGATCCATTCTCTAAAGGACGGTTGTTTCTCCTCTGCTTCCTAGTTAAGCCAAGTCTAAAATTCATTTTTAATTCATATATTGAATTCTTCTCTGGTATCAAAAACTTGACCAATGAATGGCAG